TTGTACTTCAGGCGGTCCAAATTTGGATCGTTATTCATCATTCACTATTTCAAGTCACTGTTTGTGTCTCAACCACCACCATTCTTGCCTTATATATTCAAATCTCCACATTTGTTTATTGTTCATTACCGGTTTAACACTTACGCTTTCAACATTCTGTCATCGCCACGTTGTTTGCTTGTTTAGATTTGTATATATATATATCCTCTTTCATTCATCTCTCTATTTCTCTTTGTTTCTCTCCTCTCTCTTTCTATTTTTTTTCCTACCAAAATAGTGTGATTTCAATGTCGCACAATTAATGTTCATCATGATAGTGAAATTTCACTAAGTTATGAATTACGTCAACAAACTTAATGAATTTAAATTGAATTAATTGAGTAATTCAAAACACAAAAAAAAAAATCACTGAAACAATTCAATGAAATTTCACAGAGAAATAGAAATTTTTTATTTAGTGTCAAATTACACTGTGTTTGGCATAGTATATGTTAGAGAAATTTCTCTATAGTAAAATAATATAAATATTTCATTCAGTTTTATTTAAAACTCAACAAAAATATTTTGTTATGTATTGTTGATTTAGATTTTGTCTTCGCATTTGAATTTGTTGCTTGTTTACAATGATATTAAGAATTCAATTTTTGAAAATTTACTCAAAGAAATGAACCACACCAATTTGGTGCTCATCCCGAAAGTGAAAGCTCCGGAAAGGTTGACCCAATTTCGGCCCATCAGTTTATGTAATTTCTGTTGGAAATGGTAGAAAAATTCTGGGTAAAATCAGAATTTTTTCTCAAGTTTGGTCTATTTTTTAGGTGGGCCCCGAGCGTCGATTTACTCGGGTTAAAGTGATAACGCGTTCTATGCCGCGTTGTGATTCACGTGGTATATTTGGTTACTCAAAACCATTATCGAGTGAATGGGAAATTGAAGCCAAAGTGTGCTCCATGGAAATGGAGTTTTGGTGGAAATTCCTTAAGATTGTAAATTGGCTTGTCCCACATTGATTTGGTGGGAAGTTTTGAAAGGGTTTATAAGGCTTGGGTTAGATACTTTGGGTGTGCCCCAAGGAGTACCCAAGTGTTTTAGAGGGAGAGGTTATGGGCAAAATGAGCTAGACCCATTGCACCTAAAATCACCACACGCGGGCCGCCGTCCGGGCGGGCTGGGCTTGGGCGTGGGTGCGTGGTGTGTGGTTGGGTTGGGCTTGTTCGGCCCAATACTAATCTTTTTGGGCCAAAAACATTTGAATTTAATATTATTTTTGTTAAAATAAAATCCAGAATTCAAATTAAACTGGTTTGGATTTACTGTTCATCCAAACAGGGCCCTTCCCGTTTTCAAATAGAATTAAACTGGTTTGGATTTACTGTTCATCCAAACAAACAGAATTAAACTGGTTTGGATTTATTGCTCATCCAAACAGAGCCCTTCCCGTTTTGCTATCTGTTTGAATTCAAAACCAACAGGTATCATACCTGTTCAATTTAAAACCAAGAGCCACCTTTACATCTATAAATAGGACCACCCTCATTTGATGTTTTTCATTCAGAAATTTCGTACACCATCCTCTGCTTTAAATCTCTGCATTTTGCTGCATTTTATTTCTGAAAGAAAGAGTGTAAACACTTTGTGTGTTCGACGAACGATTAAATTATAGTGCTGCTTTTATTCGTTGATAAGATCATTTTATCCTGGGAGATAGACGTCCACATTCTGAAAGCACCGTGGACAGGACAAATCTGTCTTAAGGACACAGTATTAAACACTGGACTTGATCAGAAAAGTTATTCAAATAAATTAACCAAGTAAGTTGTTTAATTTTATTCTGTTTTTATTTGTTTATTTAATCAGATTTTGTTTTTATTTTTGTAACAAAATAAAATTTGTGGTTTTATTTATTTATTTATTATTTCGAGTTTGATTTTTGTAATCAAACAAATTCTCTCATTTTCTTTATTTCTTTATATTCTTGTTGGTGTTTTGTAAACAACAGAATTTAACTTAATTAAATACAGTGAAGATTGTCCAACAATTTCCATATAAAGGTTATTACAAAAATTCTTGCCAATAGGTTGCAGATGGTGCTTGGACAGGTCATATCTCCCAATTAGTCAGCGTTTGTTTCAGGCCGCCTTATTCAAGATAATATCATCATAGCTCGTAAGGCGTTTCATTCACTCCGGACTTGCAGGGGTAAAGCAAATGATGTGGCTCTAATTAGATTTCAATAAAGCTTATGACAGAGTTCATAGGGATTATTTTGAGGGCAGTCTTGACTAAGTTGGGGTTTCATTTGACTTGGATTGGGTGGGTGATGGAGTGTGTTACGATGGTTACGTTCTCAATGTCTGTGAATGGGGCTAAGAGAACCAGCTTCAAACCGAGCAGTGGCCTCAGACAAGGTGATCCTTTGTCACCATATTTATTTATCATTGTCATTGATGTGCTGTCCAAATTGACTGGTAAGAGCGTACCCGAGCAGCGGCTCCATGGACTGAGAATTCGGAGAGCTTGCCCAATCCTCTCGCATCTTTTCATTGCGGATGATGCACTCTTTTTCTTCAAAGCGAAGGAGAGTCAGTGTTGGGAGGTGCTTAGCATTCTTAATCTTTGCGGGGAGGCATTGGGACAGTCCATTAACTTTGATAAATCTGGAATTCAGTTCTCGGGAAATGTAGATTTGGTGCAGAACAATGTGGTGTGTGGTGTGTTGGGCATTACCGAAGTCAAGGCCAAGGCTACATATTTGGGGTTACCATCATGCTGGGGTCGTTCTAAAGCAGAGGCCTATAATTTCTTATGTGAGAGGGTCCCTGGGAAACTTCAAGGGTGGAAGGCCCATCTTTTGTCGCAAGCAGGTAAGGAGACTCTTATCAAAGCAGTGGCACAGGCTGTGCCTTCTCATGCCATGGCTTGTTTTCTGCTTCCAAATAAAATTTGTGATAAGCTTAGCTCGTACATTCGGAATTTTTTGGTGGAAAGGGACCCAGAAGGTAGGGGAATCCATTAGGCCAATTGGGGGAGGATGACTATGGCTAAGTGTAATGGGGGGATGGGTTTTCTGGACCTTAGAGTGCTCAACAGAGCTTTGCTAGCCCGCCCAGGGTGGAGGCTCGCCAAGAACCCCAACTCTTTTTTTGCCGTATGATGAAAGGAATTTACTACCCACATTCGGACTTCCTCCATGCTTCGGACTTCCTCCATGCTTCAAGGGGCGCTCCATGCCTCGTGGGCCTAGTCTAGTTTACTGATCGGCCGTGAAGTACTAGTCTAGTCTAGTTTACCCACAAATGGATCCCATCTATCGGCCGTTTCAAGGTGTGGTCTGCTCCTACGCCGGGAGTGTCAGTTCAGAAAGTGCAGAATGTAGTCATTCCGTCGCTTAGAGTTTGGGACAAAACAAAGCTCAAGGCGATGGTCTCAAAGTCAGAGTACGAAACTATACTTGCCATTCCTCTATCAATTGAGGAAGGGAGGACCAAGTAGTTTGGCATGAGTCGAAAGGGGAGTATAGCGTCAAATCTGGTTATCACAATGCTTTATCTGCAGTTAGAGGGGGAGATTTAGGCACACCATCGTCACCATCATCGTCTGGGTGGAATACGAAGGAATGGAAGTTTGTGTGGAATCTTAGCATCCCATTGAAACAAAAACATTTTTTGTGGCGAGTTTGTACTAATGGACTTGCATCTCGGCAGAACCTCTATTTTAGGAGGTGCGTTTCTAATGCTGTGTGTCAAATTTGTTTTAATGAGCCTGAGTCAGTTGAACACTTATTTTTTGGATGTGGATGGACCAATGTGGTATGGTTCGATAGTGGGCTGGGGCATAAAGTCGATCTTTTTTCAGTAGATTCGGTGTGTAAGTGGCTAGGTGAAATTTTCAGGTGTCTTGGATTTTCTCAGGAGTGCAAGATGGTTGTGACCTGGGTGATGTGGCAGATTTGGAAGACTCAGAATGAGTGTATATTTAATCATGTGCCAGTAACAAACCATGCGCAAAAAAACCCGTTTATTACCATCGAGAAAGCTAGAAGGGAGGAGACTGAGTTTGTTGGACCTAGTGCAGGGCTCCCCATTCAGCTACCAAGGGTGGCTAGTGGAATAACCAAGGGTAGGGATGGAGTTCTGCCTTCCTCGAGATGGTGGCGAATTTTCTGTGATGCAGCTACCAATTCTGGGACTGGAAAGGGTGCTGTTGCAGTTGTGCTTCGAGATGCAAAAGGCAGAATGGTGGATGGAGTTGCCAAGAAAGTCATGATGTCCTCTGTTTTGCAAGGCGAGACGTTGGCAATCAGACTTATTCGAACCTGAGACCTAGAGAAATGAACCCGTTTATTACCATCGAGAAAGCTAGAAGGGAGGAGACTGAGTTTGTTGGACCTAGTGCAGGGCTCCCCATTCAGCGACCAAGGGTGGCTAGTGGAATGACCAAGGGTAGGGATGGAGTTCTGCCTTCCTCGAGTTGGTGGCGAATTTTCTGTGATGCAGCTACCAATTCTGGGACTGGAAAGGGTGCTGTTGCAGTTGTGCTTCGAGATGCAAAAGGCAGAATGGTGGATGGAGTTGCCAAGAAAGTCATGATGTCCTCTGTTTTGCAAGGCGAGACGTTGGCAATCAGACTTGCGTGTTGTCTTGCAAACTCTCTCAACCTGGCTTCGGTGGAAATATTTGGAGATAATCAGGCCATCATCCTATTTTTGTAATTCTGTCATAGTTCCTCCCTGGGATTGTAGTGTTATTGCCGAAGATATTAGAGTTCTTGCTCGGCTTCAAGAGCTATCTTTCTTTTGGTGACCCAGAGTAGCTAACGGGGTTGCCCACTGGATAGCTCGGGCCTGCTTAGACGAGGTTTTACCCTTAGATTGGGTGTCAAATCCTCCTTCGGCTCTTGTAAATTGACTTGGAGCTTGTTAATGGATTGGTCTCATCGTTCAAAAAGAAAAAAAAAAGTTACCATAAAATTAAAAAAAGAAAAAAAAGAAACATAAGTTATTCGTGAAAATTTGTATATATTGTGAAATTTAGCTTCGCCGAAAAAATTGTTGAAAGACATTCATGAAAATTTATGCAACAAAGCAAAACAAAAGCAAAACAACATTAAACCAAAATAGAAATAAAAAAATAATAATTGACAGAAGTAAAATTAACGTCATTGTTATTATTTGCTGGGCGATGTTGACTGGGGCCTTTTCACAATTAGAACAGGACACTTTACCTTCTGCGCACAATGACTACTCACACTTCCTAAAAAAACCCTGTCATTTAAATTAAACACACAAAAAAAAAGAAGAAAAAAAGTTAATCAATTGATACGTATAATCTTATTCATTATTTTTTTCAAAATGGTAATATGCTATTAACAAAAAAACGCTTTTGATATAAATGATCTAGCTTTTAGATTAGGTGAAGTTCATTAAATCAATGCATTTATTTTGTTTATTTTATAAGCTCATATGTGCAAATTATTTAATAATAAAAAAAAGTAAAGTATCAATTCATTTCTTAAAATCTGCTTAGAGCATCTCCAATGCACTAGGCATATAATACTTGTGAGTTAAAATGCCTAGTGTGATTCACTTTTTTCAATTCCAATGCACTAGGCATATGATTAGGCATTTTGGCTCAACTCATATTCACTAGCTACAAAAAAAAAGTCAATTGATTCGTATAATCTTATTCATTATTTTTTTCAAAATAGTAATATGCTATTAACAAAAAAAACCCTTTTGATACAAATGATCTAGCTTTTATAGATTAGGTGAAGTTCATTAAATCAATGCATTAATTTTGTTTATTTTATAAGCTCATATGTGCAAATTATTTAATCATAAAAAAAAAGTAAATTATCAATTCATTTCTTAAAATCTGTTTAAAATACAATGGCTCTTTGTCAAGGAATTTCATTTTTTCTGTTAAATGACAAACTTTGAAAAGAAGCTATTTATAATTTTCATAATCACATAAGACAAATCTGTATTTAAGGCAAATCTTATGGGTTTGTATTTGTAATTTACTAAAAAAAAAAATTAATTTAATAATTATAATCACACAATTTTATCAATAAATAATTTAAAATTTGTCACAACGATCTTAATTTTTTTACCAAATAGAAAAAAAAATGAAAAAAATTACAAAATATCAATATGTAGATTAGGTATTTTTTTTTTTTTTTTTTGGTATTTTGTGAATTTTTTTTCCACATATATGTTACTTTTTAAGTGCATTTAGATCAAATAGATCTAAAAAGTTTTTTAAAAATGATTAAAATATTTAAAAAATCACTAAAAATAAATTTTAAAAAACACAAACAAAATTTTAAATGTCAAAATCAAATAGAACAAACATTATTTCAGATTGAAAATAATCCAATTTTGCAAAATGTGATTGGTTCAAATAAAAAAAAAATCAATAAGTTTAAAGATGAGAGTGAACCACCTCGTGATGAGACTGTAGCCGTGGCTTCCCAACACCACCATGTCGACACCTGATTTCTCCACCGTTTGACAGATCACATCCCTTGGATCTCCCGTCTCCACCCTCGTCTCCACCTTAACCTACAATGCAAGCGCACACACAATCCATAAAAACACTTATTTAACATGACTATTTTACCCTTCACAACACAACAAAAATACTAAAACAAACAAGAAAGAAAAGAGTACACACATCAAGATGATGAATCTCTTTGCAAAGCCTCTTCGCTTTCTCTATCACAGACTCAGCCAGCTCATCGGTATACTTGTCCATGGTCGCCATTATGTTAGCCTCAGCCAGTTCGTTGGTATACTTGTCCATAGTCGCCATTACGTTAGTTGAGAACATGTGCCCTAAAATAATTACAATTTATCAAGACACCACTCAATCTCAAGATTAAAAAGATTAAAATAAAAAGACAAATTACACTCATGATATTGTAATTTTACTATTGTGTTAATTTAGAATGAGTTTGGAATCACACTAAAAAAAAAGTCATATTTTGTTCTAAATTTTTTGTTTTTTGTATTTCTTTTGTAAATTTGTGTCAGTTTTACCTTTTCAAATCCATCTAACCGACAAGGATCTCTATAAAGTAAAAGTTTTTTAATAAAATCTAAAAATATTCACTTAAAAAAAAAGGGAAAACTATAAAATGAAAAAAAAAATCTAAGGTTTGAGTCTTATAACAAAATAAATTATTAATTTTTGATTGTCAATTTAAATCATAATCATTAGTTTATTTTCAATTTAAAATATTTACTTATTTTCGTCTAATAAAAATTGACAAAAAAAAAATAATATTTTAGTCATTATAATCAATATAGGTATATAAAATATTTTTATTTATGAAGTTCAATGAATGAAATATTATTTTTTTTCGTCAATTTTACTTAATAAAAATAGATAAATGATTTAGATGAAAATAAATAAAAAGATTAAAATTTAAATTGACATAATTAAAAAAACGAGATATATTTTGTTATAAGATTTAAACATTAAGATTTCTTTATAATTTTTTCTAAAAAATAGTGGACCTTTTTCAACATTTTTTAGTTTTGTTTTTTTAAAACCTTTCGTGGGTACGTTTAATAGTGTATAACTTAAAACAAACTCCTTTATTGATTTAAGAGCAATGTTAGAAACGTAAACACAGAATGAGATATATATCTGACATGTTATGGAGTTTACATGTTAGACTCACCCAATATAAGATATTATGAGTTTTTTCTTTAATATTTTAAAAAAAAATTAATTTTCTAAATACTTTAAATAGTGAGCCAATTCTCTGAATTATTTTTTTTTGGGAATATTTTAAAGAAAAACTCCTACTATTAGATATTAATAAGTACTTTTTCCGTCTCATTCTATTAAGCTTAATTTGCCATTGGCAAATATAGCCCTTTTTTTTTTTGTTGAGATATTTTTAACTTGACTGTTTTAGTCTCGTTTGGTTTAAATTTTTTTGACTTTTTTAATTTTGTAAAAGAAAAAATATAATGATTATAAGTTTAATATGATATTTTGTTTTCTTAACTTATTTAGTTTATTTTGTCATTTTATGCTTTTTTTTTAATCCTAAAATGATATCCAAATCAGGACTTAGTCCATTATTTCATTTTTTGTGATATTTATTTTGAAAAGTCAAAATTTTAAATTTAAATGTTTTCAAAATTACCCCTTGAAAGTAATTATAAATATATTTAAAAATAAAAATAAAAAGATATTTTTAAAATTAACTCTTTAAAATTTAAATTCAAAATATAATGATTATCCTTCCTTAAAAAATTTAAAATTTTCAAAAGGGATTATTAATATGGGACGGAGGGAGTAATATGGTATGGGGAATAACACTGTATAAGTAGGTGTTTGATATCCACTAACAAAAATGTATTTTTTTTTTACATAAATATATTTATTTGAGTCACATCAATTAACATTTATTTTTTATTTTTTTACTCACTTTCTCTATTTTTTTTACATATTTTATTCAAAACATTCCAAATCATCCCTAGTCCTAAACACAATTTTTGACATAGTGTGAATAAAATACACTCCTCTATTGGTCAATTTCACATTTGTGTGGGACCATTTCATGACTCAATCAAGGAAAAATCTAGGAACATAAGCACCAAATTGGAGATATATATATCTTATAGAGAGCTGCTGTAGACCCCAGTGGGGGTCGCACCCCAATGAGGTGGTAAGTTTCTACCGACTGAAAATAAAAAAATAAATAAATAAATAAATAAAATAATTTTTTTTTGTCTATTCACGGCGCGCCATTTCATTGGGGTCGACTCCCAGTGGGGTCTGAAGTATTTTTCATATCTTATACTCCCTCCGTCCCAAAATAATGGCCCCTTTTGGGGAATTCAACTTTTTTTGATAGTACAATTATTGCATTTGAAAAAGGTTGATTTTCCAAAATTATCCTTTTGAGAGTACATTTTTTGAGAATATCAATATTATAATTGTACTTTTTGTATTGTTTATTAATTTAAGAGAAGGGCAAAATAGGAAATTTATATTATTTTTGTACTTGATTTTTGAAGAGGGACTAATATTTTGGGACAATGAAAAATGGAATAAGAGACTAATATTTTGGGACGGAGGGAGTATGAGTTTGTTTGTTTGTTTTTTTTTTAATATTTTAAATAAAAAAACAATTTAAAAAATTAATTCACTTTTCAAACTATTTGAGAAATTAACTTGTTTTTAAAATTACATTTAAAAAATATAATTTTAAATTAAAATTATATTTTTAATATGTAATTTCACTTTGAAATCACATATTAAAAATATAATTTGTGATGACATAAACTTCACTAAGATATATTACATTTTTAACATCTGTTTTGAATGACATAAATTTCACTAAGATATATTACATTTTTAACATCCGTTTTGAAAGTGAAATTACATGTTAAAAATATAATTTCAATTTTAAAAATGTAATTTCAATTTTAAAATCGTACTTTTAAAATGTAATTTTAAAAACTAGATTAATTTCTCAAATAATTTAAAAATTGAGTCAATTTTTTCCCCCTCTCTCCCCCCTCTCTCTCTCTCTCTCTCTCTCTATATATATATATATATATATATATAAAGAACTCCTGTATTAGTATTCTATACAACTCTAAACATTTCTATTTTGCAACAACAATTGTCTTAAGATTCACAATGACCGCCTTAAGGTCTATAACATGAAATTTCATATCATAAAAATAAGTTGTGATCGATCCAAGGGAAGAACTCCTAATTTAAAAGAGGGAGAAGGGGAAGGGTAAGGGGATCCAACAAATAACACCAGTTCAAAAATTAGTTTGAAAATAGGGACAAAATAATTTATTCAGCGGTTTAGAAATTGACATCTATTTAAAATGGTTTATACATTTTCAAATAAGTCGTATTAATTGAATTATATTGACAAAAAATTAAACAATAAATTATAAAAATTAAATTGACACGAAAGTCAAACTAAGCAATTTTATAAGTATAGTTTGTCCAAAATAAAATTACCTCGGACTTCTCTCCTGTTTGTTCCGTCGAGGGCCATGTAGAAGGGCCGAGGTGGTTTGGCATAGAGAAGGATGAGGGTATCTTTGGAATTTTGAGAGACGAGGATGTTGTTGAGACACCATGAGAGAGCATACATGCTCTCTTCTCCTTCATCTACGCCCACCAATATCTTCCTCTCCTTTGCTTCACACTCTGCCATTTTTTTTTAAGATTGAACTTGTGGTTGGAATTTGGAAATGCTTACTTATACACTTCTATTGTGTTTTTGTGTTTTTTTTTCCTTTGAGGAAACGTGTTTTTGTGTCTTGGGAGCAGTCTGTTTGGTGCGATTGAAGAAGGTGGTTTTAGTATAGTGATTTGTGATGATGATGATGATGGGCTTAAAGTAAAAGGAAAATCTGTTGGCAGTTTCTAGTATGTGTTTGGTGGTTTTGAAAGCAGTGGTTTTTTATTTATTTATTCATTTATTACACATAATCCCTTAAATTATTGAAAAATATTAATTTAATTTTTTAAATTATAAAAACGTAAAAATAAACTTCTTAAACTATTAAGAAATATTATTTAATTTGACTTTCTAAATTATAAAATCGTACAAATAAACTCTCTAAATTATTAGTAAGTTCCACTTTAATCTTTTCCATTACTGTACCGTGGTTAAACCAAACTTTTAACTATTTTTTAGACGAAAATATTCTTAAGCGCTTTATATATTTACAATTTTATTATTTTTTTTAAAAAAAAATTAACCATAAAAGCATTCATTCATTATTATTATTTTTTAAAATATTCTTTGTAAATATAGTTTGCAAAAATAATATTTTAAAAAACAATAATAAAACAGAAAATGAAGAAAATTGAGAAGAAGTGTTATTGGGTGTGTTATATAGAATGTTGAAGGGTATTTTTATCTAAAAAATGTTAATGCAGTAATGGAAGGAGTAAAAATGAAATATGTCAATAGTTTAGATAATTTATTTGTACGCTTTTATAATTTAATAGGTCAAAATAATACTTCTTAATAGTTTATGAGATGCAAGTTTTTATAACTTAAGGGGTCGAAATGATATTTTCAATAATGTAGAGAGCCCTTGGGTAAATTATTCTTTTTCAATAATATATAATGTTGAAAAATTATACAATAATTTTAAAATACCATGTGATCAAACTCTCTTATCAATTATCATTCATTATATCTTTTTATATTTTTTAATCACTTAATATAAATAATCAATATTTTTTATTTTTTATCAATTATAATATTATAAAGTAACCCATTGCACTACGATAGAGTTATGAATAATCACCCACCCTCAATAGGCTACCTGATTTTAGACCCCTGTATGGTTTTCTTTGGGATAAATTGTATCGAATGGTATTTGAGATTGTGGGTGGTTTTTAGGTTTGATGGTATTTCAGATTTTGGGGGCGTCTTAGACCCATATTGGGTTTTGTTTAGGATACATTAGAAAATGTTAAAGATTGCTAAAAATCTCTGACAATTTGACTGGTATTTGAGATTTTGGGGCCATCTTATTGGATTTTGTTTAGGATAAGATAGAAAAGGTTAAAGATTGCTAAAAACCTTTGACAATTTCACTTGTAAAATAACAAATGTAAATTTTTAATTTATTAGATACCAATAATATTGGATTTAATTTCTTTATCATCATTATGGATGAATTAATGTGTTTAAAAGTATTGATTTCTAACATTTCATAAATAAATTATAAAGCAATGATACATTTCTTAATTTTAAAACTCTAATTGAACTCTAATAATGTGACAGAAAATAAATAAAAATAAAAATAAGATCAAAACATCACATTACAGTAAGGTTCACTCCATTATAGCTCATTAGAATTCCTTTATTAGAACTCCCAATCATTTTTGTAAATTATATTGATGATTTTTTAGATTGTTGGTAAATTTTGGGGTCGGTTTTTTAGTTTTTTTTTTTATTTATTTCTTTTAAAAAAAATTTATGGGTTTATTTTTGTCTTTAATAAATTTTTTTAAAAAATCAAAAAAATTTACACTTTTAAGTTCTGATCCACTAGAAAAAGTTAAATATTGAACAATTTGTTTTTGGTCATCTTTTTTGATAAATTACAAATGCACCATTGAAGTTTCCTTAAAATGTTAATGGCCCCTATAGAAATTAAGTTAATTAACCATTAAGTCAACCCTTTAAAATTTATAAACAAATGATTCCCTTTCATTAATCAACTTAAGTTAATTAACAATTTTTAATGATATCAAAAATATTTTTTAATTAATAGTTCTGATAATTTTATTATTTCTATAGGAAGGTAGTTGAAAATTTTAATTCTTTTTATTAACTTTGTTAGGTGACAAATTCTGAAAATCCATATTTTAAACAAATTTCAAAAGTTGTATTGGTAAATTATCCCCCCCCCTTTTTTTAGTAAAAAATTTGGATTTTGTGTAATTTTTTTTTTTTTTTTTTGGATAGATTCGTGTATATAAGATAGACTTGAAAAGTAAAAAAATTGAAAGTTTTGAAATAAAATAATTAAAGATAAAAAAATAAAATGAAAATAAAACTCTTTTAGTTGGATGCCAAACACATAATATAATAAAGTTTTGGTAAATTACAAATACACATCTAGAGATTTGTTTAAAAGATGAATTATCTTGTGTGATTTTGAAAATTACATCTCGCTTCTTCAGAGTTTTAATTGCATAACAAATGATCCATTTTATTAATAAATTATTAAGTCAATTAATAATTTTTAATGATAATTTTATTGTTGCGTAGGAGACTAGTTAAAATTTTTATATTTTTTGTTAATTTTATTAAATGAAAATGGGTATTTATAATTTTCAAAACAACATGAAGCAATATGTTTTTTAAGTAAATCTCATGGGATATGTATTTATAATTTATTTTAAAAATTAGTATGTTACAAATTAGTACTTGAAAATATATAGTGTTTTGAAATGTATTAAACAAATATTAGAAAATTTATTGGTAATTTATTCATAAATTTTATAAGGTTAGCGTAATATATGTATGCGTACATTTATTATTTATATAAAATTTTTAATAAAAATAAGATAAATTACACTTTAACCCCTCAATTATTGTCCAACGTCACTTTATCCTTCTGAACTAAAATTATAGCACTTAACCCTTTTTTTTGTCATTTTTTTTGTTTTTTTTGGCAGTTTGGACTTCATGATACTATTTTTAGTCATAACCCTAATTACACTTTATTCTCTTCAACTATTACATCAATTTACTTCCATAGACTAAGGGATTATTTGGGATTTCTTAAATAAATGTACTTTTTATTTTTTAGATTAAAGAGTTAAGAAAAAAAATATGGATGCTTAAGTTAACTTTTTGACTTTTTATGAAAAAATATATATTAAAAAATTGTATAAAGTATGTAAGAGAATATTAAAGATGTGTGTGGTACAATCTGCACAGCTGAATTGATGGTAAGAAATTATTGACTACTTTTTGGACATTGTACTGGACGGTTTTGTTCGGCCCGTGGGGGCCATCACGAGTCCCATTTTGATAATCTGAACCGTTCAATGTATAGAACTCGTCGAGTACTATCTGCTTATAAAAAAATCACGTTGATCGAATATCGATAACTATCAGATCAGATTTATTTTTTTTCAATCGTTAATTATAACACCATCTATTTTTTTATACAAAACTGATTGATCATATAGTTATCGATATCCGATCAATGTGATTTTTTACAGACATATAGTACTCGACGAATTCTACAACGGTTCAGATTATCAAAACGGGACCCGTGATGTGCCCCCATGGGCCAAACAGCAGTGTGTGAAAATTGCACCAAAACTGTGCAATTTTTCTTAACAAACTCTGCACAGCGCTGAACGTACATGATTGTTGAGTTGTACTTTTGTGTGGAAAATTAATTTTTTAATATATTTTTTTGTGAATAATGATAATTTTTTAACTTTTTGAGTAATTTTTTAGTTTTTTATCTTTTTGGAGATGCCAAACTTGACCTAAAAAGTGCTACATAAAAATCCGTTATATAAATGGATAAAAATTATACTTGTATATGATATCTCAAATTTTGTAAATTGCTTTAAATAAATTTGAGGAACTTACATGTAAGTCCTAATAGTTGGACCTCGTTTGATAATGACTGTTTTAGCCTAAAAGTCAAAAACTTATTAAAAAATCAAAAAGCCAACAACTTATTCCAAAAAATCAATTTTTTTTTTCTTTCTACTTTTTGCACATCTTTTCGTAAAAATTTAAAAAGTCATCCTAAACATACTAGTTTTTTTTATCTCATATTTTAGCCATAGTCTAGGCTTCCTTTGGGAAGTGGGTTGGCTTTTTGACTTTTTAACTTTTTTTACTATTTTAGCCTGGTTCTAAAAAGCCTGATTTTGGAAGGGTTTTTAGTTTTTTTGATTTTTTTGTGAGAGAAAAAATGTAATGATTATGAGTTGCATGCAATGTTTTGTCTTATTTGGACTAAAAAGTCTATTTTATTTTTTGTGGCTATTTTAGCCAAAAAAAACTCCACAAAACCCACTTCCCAAACATAGGCCTAATAGGTCTTATGAGAATTAATGACGTTTTTCATTAAATACTATTAAAAAATTTCACTAATTGTAAATTTTCAATGGCAATTTGAAAATTGTCACAAAAATATCACTAATCATAAGTTTTAGTGATAGTTTAAAAAATTTGTAACAAAAAAAATTACTGATTTTCAACTTTCAACGATAGTTTGAAGAATTCGTCACAAAAAAGTCACTAATAGTAAGTTTTAGCGACAATTTATAAAAATATTGATAAAAAAGTCACTAATTATCAGTTTTTAGCGACATATACAAAAAATTGTTACAAAAAATTATTTTTAGCGATGATTTTACTATAACTTATTTTCAATACGATTTCATAGAAATTAAATCTAACTATTAAGACTTATTGATAATTTATCCCAAATTTTTAATCTTTTCTTTCCATTATTTTCTCTATCTTCTTTGTCTCGTTTGTATCATTCACATCAACAACTACAACTACAACTACCTACACTGCAACTATTATTCTTGCTGCCTTGAGTAGAAGAAAGGGAGGAGCAAAAAACATAATGGGAGATCTAGGACAGTTCACTTCAGTTCGGTCTAATGGGTTTATTTTTGAACTTTTTATCGATAATTTGAACTGTTATATCTTAAGGTTTATTAAATATATTATTCCTGTAAAAAATCATATCGATCGGATAACGAATACTATATATTCGTATCACTTTTATCTGGAAAAAAATGGACGGTTAACAAATTAATGGTTCATAGAAAAATGAT